TCTTGAAAGGTCCTAGTAGGACGTGATTATCTGCACTGATCAACTGAGTGTATATGGGGTGAGATAATATTCCAGGTAAAAAAGGTAAAGGTACCCCTGACCGTTAGGTCCAGTCACGGATGACTCTGGGGTTGTGTGCTCATCTCGCTCTATAGGCCGAGGGAGCTGGCGTTTGTCCACAGACAGCATGACTAAGCCGCTTCTGGTGAACCAAAGCAGCGCACAGAAATGCCATTTACCTTCCCGCCGGAGCGGTACCTATTTATCTACTTGCACTTTGATGTGCTTTTGAACTGTTGGTGGGCAGGAGCAGGGACCGAGCAACGGGAGCTCACCCCGTTGCGGGGATTCAAACCACCAACCTTCCATTCGGCAAGTCCTAGGCTCTGTGGTTTAGACCACAGCGCCACCCACGTCCCACACATATCTCAGTATTAGTAAGGTTTTCAACTGTTTGTAACAGAAAGCTTCTAGAGATGTTTCTTTATTTAGCAGGATGCCCAAATTTTCTTTGAATTATACTGGAGGAGAGATTTGATGCAAATTCTAATCTTTCTCTCTGTGCATCTTTTTTTGGGGAAAGGTGCCCACTCACACATTCTCGAATTCCCTTTGTTTTCTATTGCACTACATGCCACTCTGCTATATAACTCTTGAAAATGCATCCCAGAAAAGTGGTGCTTGGCCAATTGCAGACTGATAAATAATTCATTTGGGCATTGGCTGCGTTGACTTGATCTGCTATTTAATGGATGTACGGGGATTCGACAAAATTGTACCCAGTGGCGAAAAAGGGAGGTGACTAATTACTCAGCATTATACCAATAGTTTCTGTAGCGCGGAGAAGCCAAAGTCAGAATGGAATTATCCATCTTACCTCAATGACTCTATCTCTACCTCCAAAGTTCAAGTGATAAGTGGCTGAAGTCAACAGGACTCCTTTAAGCACACCTTACCGGCTTGACATATTGGAGTTACGGACCCACTAGGATTATAAAATTTATCCCCGGGCAGGCTTCATTACATTCTCTCCAAATCTAATTTAATGCCCAAGAATGCAATCACTTTGATGGGACCAGCTGTTTCGTCTCCTGCCAAAAGGCACTCCAAACCGTTTGCCAGCTTCCATATAAATGCTTGGTGTCTTCCGACACATATAAAGGCGAAGCTCTCCGCGAGGCTCCCAGAAAAGAGACAATGAAGTATTGATCTTAAAAAAAAAAAAGTAATAATTTGTATTGGTTCCATACTACAGTGGCACTCGATGACACACACGTCGGATGGAGGGGAGCCTTCAGTAATCCGCAAGGCTCAGACAGGACTGGGAATGAAATTAAAGCATTGACATCGGGTGTCAGGCTTGCCAAGAGAGAAATCTCCAAAGACAAAAGACGGGGGAACAAAAACAAGAAACAGGAGGCTGTGATTCTGGGAACTCTCTTGTAAGAGTGAGCTTCCACAGTCCATATGCATGGGCGATGGTCATGCGGTTTGTCCAGCTGGGGTTGGGAGCTTAAATCTACGGTTTCTGCTCTTAATTATGCATCCACTGTGGGTAGCTTCTCTCGTGATGCACACACATCTCCCCCCTTCATGTGTATCATTGATTACATGAAGGGGCAAGTTTGTAGAAAGGGGCTGTGGTTGTGCTGGGCCCGGGGGTAACCCATGAAAGGCAGTCCAGAATCCAAAGGTTCCGCTGGGAGTCAGTCCAACAGGGTCAAGGCAGGACACGAGGCAGGAAACCAGGCAAGGACAGGTACAGGATCTCAGGCAGGATCTAGCATATAGCAATGTTGCTCCCGCAACCTGGGGCGGTGTCCGACAGCCTGTTATCTTTGTTGGGGTAGCAGCCAGTCCTGATCCCCCGGCGACTCACCTCCCTGTTTTGCCCGAAGGCGAGCACTACTCCTGCGAGTACTCAGGTCTCGCCTTCTCTCAGACCTTAGTCTCTGCAGCTCGGGAGACGTCGGTGGGTTACTAGACCCAGGGGCCACCTCAGCCTCTCCTGACCCAACTGGAAGTGGAGCAGCTGTAAGTGATGGCCCAGCTGAAGGCAATGAGGTAATCCCTGCATCTGGAGCCAGGGCAGGCTCAGGCCCCAGACTCGACCCAGCTGGTGTTTATTGCAGGGGAACCTGTGCAGACTGGGACTCTTCAGGATCAGGCCCCAGACTTGGTTCAAGTGATGCCTGAGGCAAAGGATCTGGTGCAGACTGAGTCTCCTCTGGTTCTGAGTCTGAGCCCGAGTCCCAGGCCATCACAGTGGGGCTGTGTCTCTGGCCCCTCCTTCACTGTCACACAACAGCATCCATATCTGAGAAACGGGTGCCTTCTCAGCCAGAGCTCCAGGACCCAGGGAACCTTCATGTGTAGATCTTTGAAAGGTTCCCTGTCTCAGATGTCCATGCTAATGTGGGCCTACAGCTGCAGCCTAGCAGCTCCTTTCAGCACACTTTGAGTCATGAGGAAAGGAGACTTCCTCTTCTTTTATCAGAACACAGAAGGAATCCTTACATGCTGAATCCAAACAGCAAACAGCAGCACCTCATGACAGAAATCTGCTATTTCAGGACACTGTCCTCCTTAGGCAAAAGATTAGCTGCTAACAGTGACATCTAGTGACAGAATGAAGCATTACTTCTGTTAACATGAAAAGATAAGAGGGGAAATTTAAGGGCAGATCAACACCATTTTTAGGAGGTAATTTTATTACTATTTGATTTTATACTAATGTTATACAGTGGTACCTCCAGTTAAGAACTTAATTCGTTCTGGAGGTCCGTTCCTAACCCGAAACTGTTCTTAACCTGAGGTATCACTTTAGCTAATGGGGCCTCCCACTGCAACTGTTCTCATCCTGAAGCAAAGTTCTTAACCCGAGGTACTATTTCTGGGTTAGCAGAGTCTCTAACCTGAAGCGTCTGTAACCTGAAGCGTCTGTAACCTGAAGTACCACTGTATATTTGATGTTAGCCGCCCTGAGCCCGGTTTCGGGCCGGGAGGGTGGGATACAAATAAAAGTTGATTATTATTATTATTATTATTATTATTATTATTATTAACCATTTAAAGCACATCTGATGCACATTTAAAACAAATGGCTCCCCCCACAAGAATCCAGGGAACTGGAGTTTCCACTCACAAAGTTACAGTTCCAAGTATCCTTATGAGACTAAAGTTCCCAGGATTCCTGGGGAGGTGAGAGACACGAGCTTTAAATGTATGGTGTGGACCTGCAAAAAGTTTCCAAAGCAGCCATTTCCCCGCAAAGTAAAGTTAGATAAGCTTCAGTTTTGACAAAGAGGACTAGAACCGCAATAATTAGGCATTCAGGGAGACTAGATCGAAGAAAACATCCTCCCCACAGACCTTTCATAGAAAAATAGCTAGTGGTAGGAGAAAACTTTATTTACATGGCTGCTATTTTTGTGTATGTTTTAATTAAGTAACTATAGTCAAGGGAGGGACGTGGGTGGTGCTGTGGGTTAAACCACAGAGCCTAGGACTTGCCTATCAGAAGGTCAGCGGTTCAAATCCCCGCGATGGGGTGAGCTCCCATTGCTGGGTCCCTGCTCCTAGAATCATAGAGTTGGAAGAGACCACAAGGGCCATCGAGTCCAACCCCCTGCCAAGCAGGAAACACCATCAGAGCACTCCTGACATATGGTTGTCAAGCCTCTGCTTAAAGACCTCCAAAGAAGGAGACTCCACCACACTCCTTGGCAGCAAATTCCACTGTCGAACAGCTCTTACTGTCAGGAAGTTCTTCCTAATGTTTAGGTGGAATCTTCTTTCTTGTAGTTTGGATCCATTGCTCCGTGTCCGCTTCTCTGGAGCAGCAGAAAACAACCTTTCTCCCTCCTCTATGTGACATCCTTTTATATATTTGAACATGGCTATCATATCACCCCTTAACCTCCTCTTCTCCAGGCTAAACATGCCCAGCTCCCTTAGCCGTTCCTCATAAGGCATCGTTTCCAGGCCTTTGACCATTTTGGTTGCCCTCCTCTGGACACGTTCCAGTTTGTCAGTGTCCTTCTTGAACTGTGGTGCCCAGAACTGGACACAGTACTCCAGGTGACGTCTGACCAGAGCAGAATACAGTGGCACTATTACTTCCCTTGATCTAGATGCTATACTCCTATTGATGCAGCCCAGAATTTCCTTGGCTTTATTAGCTGCCGTGTCACCCTGTTGTATCATGTCAAGTTTGTGGTCAACCAAGACTTCTAGATCCTTTTCACATGTACTGCTCTCAAGCCAGGTGTCACCCATCTTGTATTTGTGCCTCTCATTTTTGTGCCAAAGTGAAATACTTTACATTACTCCCTTTTAAAATTCATCTTGTTTGTTTTGGCCCAGTTCTCTAATCTGTCAATGTCGTTTTGAAGTGTGATCCTGTCCTCTGAGGTGTTAGCCACCCTCCCAGTTTGGTGTCATCTGCAAATTTGATCAGGATGCCCTTGAGTCCATCATCCAAGTCGTTGATAAAGATGTTGAATAAGACCGGGCCCAAGACAGAACCCTGTGGCACCCCACTAGTCACTCTTCCTGCCAGCCTAGCAGTTCCAAAGCACATCAACGTGCAAGTAGATAATAGGTACCGCTCCGGTGGGAAGGTAAACGGTGTTTCCATGCACTGCTCTGGTTCACCAGAAGCGGCTTGGTCACGCTGGCCACATGACCCGGAAGCTGTACGCCGGCTCCCTCGGCCAATAAAGCAAGATGAGCGCCGCAACCCCAGAGTCGGCCACAACTGGACCTAATGGTCAGGGGTCCCTTTACCCTTTACCTTTATAGTCAAGAGAATAGACAGATACGTACGCACACAGAAAGAGTCAAAGGCTAGGGTAAAGAGGAGCATCTTCAGCATACAATTCATTTTTGATTGTTCATTGTTCCCTGCTTGAAGCACTAGGGAACCAAGCCAAGCTATTGTAGAGCTCGATGGGCCATTGGTGTAACTCAATATGAGGCAGCTTCTTGTGTTGCTACTTGGCAAATTCTGTAGCTCAGTTTTAGAGCCTCTGCTTTGCAGGCAGGAGGTCCCAGGTTCAATCCCTGGCACTTCCGGGCAGGACTAGGATGGACTCATATCAAAACTCTGGAGAGCTGCTGGCAGTCAGTGCATGCAATATTGAACTAGGTGGACCAACAGTATAAGGGAGCTTCCTATGTTCCAAGCAGAATGGGAACACACTTCTAGTTTTCTCCTAAGCGTCCTTCATTTCAGCTTTCTAATTTAGAATAAAGAAGGCGGTATTATGTTGGTGTTGTTAAGTAATCGGGAGGCTGAAACCCTCACTTATATAATGTTAAAAATCCACAGATCTTCTTACATATCCTTATTTGTTTGGTGCTTGTCTCTAGCCTAGATTGTCACAGAGATGTCATAAAGCACTACACTAGGTTCTGGAATTGTCCTCTGGAATGGAGATTAAATCAGCCAAGAGGAGTGTAGAGGGACAGAAGCAAGTCACCTCCCCCCCAAAAATATTTAATCCTTTCACAAAGAGTTTTGAACACCACCGTGGAAATCGATAGCAGGGATAAAGCCCTTGATCCAATGCTTACCCGGTACAGCAAAGGCCCCATCATTCAATTAAGCTTTATATAGTGAGTTTTAAAGCCATAAGAGCCCAAAGGAGATTGCAGAAACTGGCCATTTGTTTCCCACGGCTGAAGCTCAGATCTTCTCACTACATATGTACATTTGAGAGTCACTTTGGGTAGCAGTGAGAGGGTTGGACCAGGACCTAGGAGACAGGGGTCCAAATCTCCAATCAGCCATGAAGTTGCTACCACGCAGGGTGGCTGTGAGGATGAGTGGAGAAGGCAAGTCCATGGACATTGGCTTGAGCTCCTTGGATGAAAGCAGCAAACCAATGTGCCAATGTTTGGCCTGCAGTGGGCAGTGCTTTCTAATGACGGCCTGTCAATCTGTCAGCTGTCCTTTATCAATGCTAAGTATTGGATGGTTGGAAGAGGTTTGGGGGAGACTCAGGAACCAGTGTCAGTATAGGGAAGTGGCTTGGATCTATGGATTCCGTGGACATCAAAGATGCCAGGGCAGGTTGGATTCCATTGATGCTTTTTTCTTTTCTTTTGAAATGTAAAGAGAACCCTGCCTTCTTCCAGCCCTTGTACTCTTTCTCTTGTCTCTCAAGGCCACACTTGGTAGATTTCTCCCAACATTGCCACACAGAAGGGATCCTTGCCTTGGTCAGCATCCAATGACATCTGGAGGTTGTTTTGCCAGTTCAGTGCAACAGCATTGCACAGATGCAAGACATGCCTCATCCTGGCTCCACCTCTTTTATCCATGGCACTCCACCACTGTCCCACCTCTGTCCTCTTCTTGTGTGCTGTTGCACCAGAAGTGGTTTAGTTATGCTGGCCACATGACCTGGAAAGCTGTCTGGGAACAAATGCCGGCTCCCTCAGCCTGAAGTGAGATGAGCGCTGCACCCCGTAGTCACCTTTGACTGGACTTAACCATCTAGGGGTCCTTTACCTTTATACCTGGCCTTGGTCCAGTATATCTGAAGGAGCGTCTCCACCCCCACCATTCTACCCGGACACTGAGGTCCAGCCCCAAGGGCCTTCTGGCAGTTCCCTCACTGTGAGAAGCCAAGTTACAAGGAACCAGGCAGAGGGCCTTCTCGGTAGTGGCACCCGCCCTGTGGAACGCCTTCCCACCAGATGTCAAAGAGAACAACAACTACCAGACTTTTAGAAGACATCTAAAGGCTGCCCTGTTTAGGGAAGCTTTTAGTGTTTGATGCATTACTGTATTTTAATATTTTGTTGGAATCTGCCCAGAGTGGCTGGGGAATAAAATTATTATTATTATTATTATTATTATTATTATTTTAACCTTTTCCTGTCTGCAATGTGTCTTTGAACTGTGCAGATACTCCTTCCTTGGCTTGATGGATGCTGGAAAGATGTATGAATGTCAACACCTCTGACTTTCACATAGCCACTGGGCGAAGGTGAGACTCACTTCTGTTGCCTCACTTACTCTGGCCCCTGGCCACACCCACTGCTACCCTGTGGCCCCCAGAAGGTTATATGTGAGGGAGTTTGGCCCCCAGTCTGGAAAAGGCTCCCCACCCTTGCTCTAGCTTGGATGATGTAATCAGGCATGATGTGGATAGCTTCCGGAAACATCTCCTAGGCCAGTCATGGTTTGCATTGGAGGCCTGGCTCACTGCATTTATATGGGGACCATTTTCAATGCAAAATGTCCTGATCATTTGCTATGACTCTCTTGCCAGAAGCTTCATGCACTGTATCCACCATCCTGGTGCTTTGTACAGCTTTTAGTAAGCAGCGTGGTGTCAGTCACATTGAAATCTGATGAAACCCAGATTTTTTTTAAAAAATATATTAATTAAAGTTCAATGGATTCCTTATAAAGAATAGATGAAAGGAGCAGCCAGTGACAAGGGAGTCATGGAGCTTGCTTTTCTGAAGATTAACTAAAGCTCCCATGAACTTCCTGCCTGCCTCTCTGGAAGGCTTCCTGGTTGCTGGGCTGCTGTTGTTTCCCCCCTTTATTATTTCACCAGGCTGAAATTATTTCAACAGATTGACAAGTGCTTGTTTACAAAAGGAGGTGAAGGATTAGCATGCCCACAAAGTGAGATGCAAATAGAAAAAAGATGCTGATTTTGTGCTTTAACGTTACTATGTTAACAATCAAGTAGCTCAAAAGGTTGCATTTTGTTTGTTTGTTTGTTTTTAGGGAAAATGAAATCACAAGATATAAATGGTACCATATTTCAAGCATGCCTGTGGGGTCACTGGGGCTCCAGATTCCTCCTCCCAGTGCTTACCCTGAAAAACCATTGCATATGTAGAGTGGTCTTTGTCTCTTCTCATATTCTTATCCGTCTTTACACCCATCCCTGCCATGACTCCAGAGCATGGGATTCCAGGCGAGGGAGGGAGGCTGGCTTTGCTCAGCTGGACATTTCTGTCATGGTCCGGTTCAAGGGGAATCGAAATCCCGGCTGGGGACTTTGGGACCGGGGGCAAGATGGCGGGGTGGGAGCAGGAATGGGAGTCCAGAAGCCAGGAGTCAGGAAGCCAAGAGTCTGAGGGTCAGAGAGCTGGGAGTCAAGAATCCAAGGGTCTGAGGGTCAGGAAACCAGGAGTCAAGGAGCCAAGGGTCCAAGGATCAGGAAGCAAGGAGCCAAACACAGCAAGGCAGGAAGGAGTCAAATGCACAAGGCAGGGAACATGTTGCTGTGACAAAGAACTGAAGGGAAATGCTGACCTTATATCCCTTCCCAGCTCTTGCCACCAGGTGCTGTGAGTTACCAATCGGCCTCACCTGTGCAGCCATGCCTTGCCTCTTCAGAACAAACTTAGGAAGGGCCCAGTCCTGCAAAGTCCTATTGGTCACAGGGCCTGGCTCCTGCACACACACCTGACAATTTCTCTCCTGCAACATGGGCTTTCTTCACATTGGGCGAAAGATTCTTGCATGGTCCCTTCCAACTCTACAATACTATGATTCTATGCTTCCCTCCCCTGTTAAATACGGGTTCCTGGGACTCTTAACTGGGGAGATCACTGTTGCACTCATAATCGGCTTGCAGGCTTCCCACGGGCATCTGGTTGACCACTGTAAAAGTAGGATACGAAACTAGGTGGGCCTGATCCAGCATGACTCTTAATAGCTTATCATTTCCTTCTCTCTCTCTCTCTCTCTCTCTCTCTCATATCCCATTGCCTGGTCTTCAGCTGGGGGGTGAGGTGGCGCATCTTGGAGTGAGCACTCAAACATTTCTTGCCTTTCCAAGTGCAAAACCCGCAGACAGCTAAATTTAAAGCTCAGTTCGAAAAAGGGAAAGGGCGGGGGAAGGAGAGAGGAGAAGATGCTTTGGTCTCCTCTGTAGACCCTTGTACTTTCATCCCAGAGGGTCTCACTTTGATTTAGATTAACCCCTTTTCCCAAACCAAGAAATAAGCTTGGCTGAAGATGGCGTCCCCCTTTCAAGCAAAACAAGCTTTCCTCTGGGGCTTTGCACTGGCTTATTTACGGCAGAAACTTCTCGCGCAGCCAAACCCCTGGATAACTTCTTCTTCTTGCCTCTTCTCTGCCTTTTTCTGAGCTGTTTTCTCCCTTTCTGTTGAAAGTGTGAATCACAACTATAAAAATAGGGCAAGAAGATATGAGTGAGTCAGTTTCCTGAACAAGCATCAGGAACTGCACGTTTAAAAATATATATATATTTCTACAAGAGCTTTCCACCTGCTTGGGAACGATTGCAAACAGGCAAGGAAATGGCGGCAAAAAACTGAATTGCAACATTGCCTTTCATTTTTGGCTATCGTAAGCCACTGGGTCATAAATTAAAAGGCTCCACTTCTGCACCTTTATGGGCTGGTTACAAGCTATATGTTAATTCTTAGAGCCATGCCTAAATATGTCAAAATGAAAAAGAAAAGGAGATGCACTACTTTGGACGGGTAGCAGATTTAGAATGGAGAATGCAGGGTGTGCAGCTGGACACAAAATGTGCATTTTGGTGGAGGGGAATGTGCTGTTGTGAAGCTGATAATGTGCAGTTGGAAAAATGTGGTTTGGGAAAATGAGACGAGTTAGACTTTTTAAGCACCTAAACAGCAGGCAATGTCAGGGACAGCATGCACACAAATTATTCAAGGGTAGAATGCACTCAGTGTCCATAGTTAAAACAAATTGCTCGAACCGTATTGAAACACCTTATTGGGGGCCAGAATCCGCTCTTCTTTAGGCAGATAACATTACCGAACTAAGGCTGATCCATAAATGAATCATCACTGAATGGTAGATAAGTACTTCTGACTCCGATGGAGGAGCTGCCACTGATAGGAGATGTAAACAAAAAGCAAATCATGCTCTGTGTTCATGTGGCTTCTTCGTATTATTTTATTGTGTGGTGTCTGACAGGCAATTTGTGCAGCTGGGAAATCTGCTTTTAAAAGTCCCTGGGAGAAGGGAGGGCAGAAGCGCTTAAACTTTTCATTTCCCCATTGTTTTGCCACTCAGATAAACTCCCTCTTTGATCCCTCCTGCTGTGCTTTATATTTTCACTAGGGAACCTCTACCCCCATGGGCGTAATTAGGTCTGCCATACCTCCCTCTCTGGCCCAAGCCATACCTTCCTGTCCTACACCTGACATCATATATGATGTCATCAGGTACGCAGCAGGCAAACAAAGCAGTTCGGCAGAAGGTGGTAAAATCTCCTTCATTTGAGGTTTTTAAGCAGAGGTTAGATGCTTTGGCTGAGTCAACATCCCTATATGGAATGGAGGAAGCATCTCAGCTTTTGCAAAAATGTATTGGGACAGCCTTCATTAAGGGTTTCTAGATGCTGTTACTTGAAAGGAGAAACAGATTTCCTCAGTTCCATTAGTTCCTTCGCTCTGTATTTGACATCTTCCTTCTGGTCTACCTATAATAATTTCTAAAATTAATTCTGGCACTGGAGCATGCATGGTTTCCTGCAGCTTCCAGCCCATTCATGACTTTTTAACTCCATGGATAAATGCTGTACATTGATTATTAAAAAAAACCCTCCTGCATAAACGCATCACTGATGTGATCGTCTATATAATTGCATCAAGAATCTTTTCTGCAAGATGCTTCTGAATGTCTACATAGTCTCCTGTGCACTGATAAAACACGAGGCAAAATGCATCTTCATACAGCCATTTATATAATAGCACCAAGTTTTCTTCTTCTTTTTCGCCCAGTATAACTCGCAGCAGTGTGTACATGCACATCATTATTACGGTGAGGAGGAGAGATGCAAAAAAAAGCTATGGTGAACTGCAGTGATATTCAGGGGCAGACAATGCAAAGGAACCAAAAGATTCCATTACAGAATTTATTTCAAGGATTCTTCTAGCTAAACTTGTATTCAGGGAGAGTGGAATGTAAGGCACAGCAAACCTATGGGATAGCAAGGGGAGTGAACCAGGAAATCCTCACGTTGCTAGTCAGGATGGGACGGCTGAATAAAATAGGAACGGGAGATAAATTCAATTCAGTTCACATATGAAGGCAGGCCTACCTAATTCACGCTTTCTTAAAAGGCACACAAACAAAAACAGACCCATGCTTCAGAATTCATACTTCTCTGAATTTTGCAGTGCAGTTCTGTTGTCATGCAACGTGTACAAAAATGAATGTACCAGGGGGAAATGTACATGAAAATGGATATTTTGGTGAGAATGACATACAAAAATGCTTTGCACCAAGGGAAGTGCATTTTGCAAAATTGTATACAAAATATACATATGAGGAGAAAAGGTTTTTTTACTGCTCCTAGTCACTTTGGCAGATTAAGAGTGTTACTTCATATGCAACAATTCAAATCTACTGAAGACACACCTGACACAAAAAGATGTCAGTTAAATGAGGCAGGTCTTCAACAGGCAACAGATAGACAACAGAGATGGGCCCTGATTGATATCTAATGGGAGAGAATTGCAAAGAGTTAGTTTTACCACACAGGCCAAATTCCAACATGGTACACAACAGAAATCCTGATGAGCTGAGATCTGCAGGAGACCCTGTCTTGTAGAAGGCAGTGATTGGTTGGGTCTTTTTAAAAAAAACCCAAAACCCTTAAATTTGATGCTTCTGCCACTGGAAGTGGTGGCCATGTTTTCCCCTTAAAGAAGACAAAAAAGAAAATAAAAATGAAGTCACTCATCAGCCAGAACCAAACTGATTCAATACATTTCTGCTCTCCCATTTTGGGCGGCAACTGAACCTCCTCCAGATGAGAAAGGAACGAAAAACTGGGTAAACCCATCCCAACTCTTCAACGAAATATGTGTGCTCAGGGCTTATTGAAGAGATCTGGCTTGTAATTCTATCCTTCCTGCCAATCCATTCATAATTTCTTTCATCTGACAACCACACCAACTTAATTGTGTGCTTTATTTTGTGGCTTACTTTTACCACCCTCATTATAACTGAAAACATGTTTGGGGTTACAACGAAGAGAAAACAACTCTGGCATTTGATAGAGTGAGTGGGGAAACTCCGAGGGAATAAAACGTGTGTCAAAGTCAATGGAAACAGTTGGTTCCAATTAAGCAGAACACAGTCGGTCAAAGAAATGAAATCCAAGCTTTTTTTTGGTTGTCCCCTCATGGGAAAGTTAAAGTTGCCCATTTCAAAAGAGACTTAGCCAATGGCAGAGCCGGCCCAGGACATTTCACTGCCTGAGGCAGCGGACTAATGAATCCTGTTAACAGGAGTTTTGCTAGCACAACAGGGTGTCCCCCCTCCCACTGTGTGCCCCCCATGCACACTGAAATTGGCCAAAGAGGGAATTGGGAAAACCCCCCAGGATAGTACGTGGGTGAGGAGAGAGGGGGTCATTCTCTCTGGCAAGCTGAAAAGCTTGAGCAGATCCAATGATTGGCATAGCACCAAACTGCATTCCTCCCAAAGTTCTCAAGGATAACTAAGGCATTTTGGCATCTGAGACAGAAAGCCCCGCAAGCATCTCTACCTGGAAATAAAATTATTATAATAGCACATGAATAAACTAATATTTTGTAGCCCTTTCATGAGAATTGCTCTTGGAGGTGGCCACCTTGCTTTGCCTAATGGTGAGACTGGACCAGGACAATGGCAAAATTCACATGATCGGGCAGTCTCTTCCACACCAACATTTTGTACTGAAATCATTTCCAAAAAATGGAAAACACAAGAATTATCAATGGTAGAAGAATGGCAGATGAAGATGATGGACTTTATGGAGCTGGCTGATCTCACCAGGAGAATCCGCGACCAGAAAGAAGAGGAATATCAAGAAGACTGGAAGAAATTTAAAGA